TGTGATGCACTCGCGCAGGCCGGGTCAGTGACCTTCAATCCGGTCTCAGCAGCCATCGCTACGAAATTTATCAACATAAGCGACCTCGGCTATTCGTGTGGGAACAGCCATCACGTTCTCTGTCATGATGTGGGGCTGGTGGAGTCAGTGGTGTGCACGTGCAAGCTTGAGCGAAACTCCATGAAACGGTGGACTGCAGTGTCAAAGTGCCAACCTCCGGCTGTTGTTCTATCATCGGCAGCTCAGTAAGACGCCCCATGCTGTTGTGGCTTAAGAAAAAAGTGTGAAGCAGGTCCTACCTAAGTGAACGCTCTCATGAAAAGCTTGCAACAGGTGCCACGGGCCAGCGGGGCCAGCTTTGATATGATTTGGCGTTGATTCACACCAGCAGTTTATCATCAGTTGTTTATGTAAATAAGAGACAATCGAAGCGATTATGTGATTGCCATTTTTGCCCACGCGCATTCAATCGCCGACCAAACAATCCGCATCATATAAATGTATTTTATATGTATGCTGCAGAAATCGTTACGAGAGGTGATTTCCGTATACATTAGAAGCTAAGATATTAACGAACGAACGAATGTGCCGATCTACAGAAACTATTACACAGAAAAGTTAAAACTATTAATATATATAACTCTATAAAATTAAAAATGTATATAATACAACCAAATATACTCATATTTAAAAATTAAAACTATTATACCAAGTAAACTGAGTCAGCGCTCTCCTATAGTTGGTATGAAAGCATTATCCCCACAAGAGAAAATGACGTGCTTGAAGATTTCAATGGCTTGCTTAAGTGATGTCGATAGTCTTGTTTAAACGCTAACCCACAAACACATTTTTATGATAAATCCACGTTTATGCGCAAGTTGCATTGCACTTAAGTCAGCTTTCTGCATTAGCTCTTTTTACAACTTGCTGCCTGAAATAGTTTTACATTTTCAACAAGTACGGTGGATAGGAAATACGTTAAAAAATCACGACGATACTCTCAGATGGCTACACGGGAACAATTGAAGCTTTCTTAAGCTGGGAATTCGGCTGTCTTTGTCACTTTGGTTAACTCTTTATAGTCGACGTCCAGGGTCAGTTCTAAATTCTCAGACAGTTGGGGAGCTTAGGAAATGTTATCTCATCTTGGTGGTACAGCTGGGAGATAAAGACTAAAACTACGGTTGAATTAGACAAGAAGGAGGTTGAAAAAGACATGGTTAAAAACGATGCTATGTTAAGAACACATTCATGTCATTGCTTCAAATCTTAACGTTTGGTGTGGTTTAAGGGAATACCATACGGAGGAAGAAGTCAGATAAGGTCAAATAGTAACAGTACACCTAACAGTTGTGCTGTTTTAAATAGGAACAGTATTCCGCTCAATTTCTTCGTGCTTGAATGCTCTAGACGAGAAACTGTAGCATGCTGTAGGAAAGGCTTCTTCCAGGTTTAACAGTTCTCCTTCAAATGGGTGAAATGACCGCGAGCTGTAGGTTCCTATGCAGACTCACACGCACAGTGATAAGGATTTCCACCGTCAACAACTAAGAACCGAGTGTGATTCAGAATCAGGGAGCATTGTTAAATTGATCGGCTCAAATCGATGGAAGCGTACTGAAGGCCGTCTCAGAATGTTATTGTGAGTTCATGTCGAACAGTCAATTGTGTCCCTTTCCTTCCATTTTCCCAGGACATTTCTTCTCCCTGCTGGGTGAGGAAGATCAAGGAGCTTTTTCAAACGACTAGAAAACAACGCCGGAAAATAACACAGATTTGGATGAAAAAATCCGCTTGGTTGGTGCGACACTCCTTTCCACCCACCATCACCTCTACCCCACCCACCTTCACCTCCACTTCCACTCCCACCCCCATTCCCCCCCACATATATCGCCGCAGGTCAACAACATGAAACAGGAAAATTTTGGTGGTGTCCTCAGCTATAGTGCTCCTTTACATCCCCTCCCTCCCGCTATGCGAAAATCCTGGGTGAACGCCCGGATGTCACATGTTCTGAATATGTCACAGCCGCGTGACCATAACATCTTCTCCGCCGGTTTTGTCGCTGACAAACTGAGACTGGCCGGCGCAGTTATGAGGGCAACTCGAGTTCACTTGTTCAGCGTATAGTTTCCGTTTCAGCAAAGGATTTGACAGCACACGTGTCGCTATTGAACCTAATTGCGGCCAACACGGGAAGGTTTCGTTCCAGCGCATGTAGCAAGCTGAATGCACTTTCATTAGTCGGGACTGTGACTCCACTGGAGATGTTTCCCACAAGTCCACCCCCCCCCCCCCGAATTACGCTTCACAGAGTCACCAATCGCGCAGTGTCTGTGAAGTGTGAACAGAGCCGCTGATCAGCGACTGACGGGAGCCGCCCACACCCGCTTGGTGGCACTCCTCCACTTGCCGCGCTGAATGGCCTGCAATGACGCCGACCCCATCGCCGTGTGATGGGCCGCGCCCACTCGCTCGCACGCCCCCGCATCCCACAGCTGGTGCCCGGTGAAGCGCCCGAGGGGGGGGGGGGGGGGGTGAGGTATGTACATTTCTGCCGTGCGCCGTATTCTCTGACTGGCAATCAACAGTGTTGATCGGCCTGGACCAGCGGCTCGGCAGGACTCGCCAACCTGGTGTTTACCGGCCTCTTGACCCGGAGGTTGCGTCAGTCAATGTGCTGCAGACGTTGGCGCAGTCCCAGCTTCCAAGAAGAGGATCTCACAAAAATGTCACCATCAAGGTAACTGAGACAGTGAAAGGCAGAGGGACCGTTGGTCCCGGCAAGGATCGAATGTTTTATGGATGATTTCTCTTGGAGTTTTCCGCTCGACTTCCCTCCCGCGGGACACGCAGCAATGTTCATTGCCGTTGCAGTTTTGGGTCGATTCGAACTCGAAGCTGTTATGCATTCAGTATGCGTATCTGGCGTGAAAAACAGGATGGAAATATTTCAACTGCGAGCAATCTGGCCCGACGCTGGAGTCTTGGATCCGTCTCCGGTAGTGATTTAGTCATCAGCTATCAGCAGCCTGATCCGGAGCTATTAGTAATCACTGGAATGCAAGTTGAAACCAGTGCAGAGCGCGTGGCAACACCACATTCCAGTCAACGTCACATTCCTTTCGGCGTTGCCTGGACTGTTGCCCTTTTTACTGGGACATAATCTGGTTACATCACATGCACTCCCTTTCTCCAAGACCCTTTTTCCTATTTGGTGGAGAATCCTTTGGATGGGAATTTGCCTGCCTCAGCTCAATCACAGCCATCAAAACAAAAGCGTATGCATGCCAAAAGTCGATTTAGCTAAGTTATGATGTGC